AGAGAGAGAGAGAGAGAGAGAGAGAGAGAGTGTGTGTGTGTGTATGCGTGTGTGTGTAAGGTTGTTTGTGCACTGTATGAGTAAGTACTTGTGTGAACGCTCTTGCATGTTAGGGAATATCTGCTCTTTCTTGTGTTTAAAACAATGAAAGAAACAGTGGTGTGCTTGTTGCATGTTTATGGGAACAGTTTAAAGACTATTTTTCACATTTTATCACGGTGGACTAACTTGCTGATAAACGAAGGGGATTCATTAAAATTATGCTTGTTTAATCTCCTCAGTTTGATGAGTTGATGAGTGATGCTTGAATGGAGTTATCAACATAAGCCGTTTATTCCACATAGACTGGAAGAGGAGTTATAGTGCTCCCATCTGGCATCCATGTGTACCCATTTCAAAATACTAATGTATCCATACACATAAGAATGTCATCTAGGAGGGAAATGTAATGAGTTTGTTAGATACCATGATTTCAGTAAAAAATCACCACTTTAGCTTTTGTATTTGTTTTACAATAGAGTCTGATGATATTGGTACATTTTCTCTTTAGTAATAAACATAGTTGATTGAATTTGTCTGTCATACCCTTTAAACAATTTTTTTTTTAAATTCTGTGTTGTTTAAAAAAATGAACAAATCACTTTGTAATACACAAGCTCATGGAAAGGGATGAAGTTGGGCTCTACTGTACACTCCTAAGCCTCCTATTTTATTTTGAACCACATTATTGATGAACAGCAAAAATCTGGTTTCTTTTGTAGGGTTGAATATGAGTATAACTCATTCGAATGCCATCCCACAAGTATAGGCCTACTAAAATACACAAGTAGGTGTCTTATTTAGAATATCAAGAGACACTCAATACAGCCACAATGTTGATACTGACTGTATTTTCTTTGCACTTTCTACTAAAGACTTCCCTTCTAGCACACTAGCTTTTTGTGGAAAAAATTCAAGACAACGTCTAGATGAATGCATGAATGCAGCACACCTGTATTATCTGTAGAGCTCAAAGGATAAGAAAACAACAAGAAGCTCCAATAGGAATGAGAAGAAAATTTCTAGCTATAAAAATGTAAGATCAGGTAAGGAACAAGTACATGTATCGTATTCATTTTTTATTTTCCTTTAACTACCTTCGTTTAGTATTAGAATTAGTCTCTACATTTCTCTAATGAGTAAACAGGCTTTCTCTGAGGAAGAGTACGCATTACAGTAGCTAGTGAATAAAGTATAGGCCTACTAATCCATTTGTTGTTTTGACTGATGCTCACACAACCTAGTCATTTGTGTAAATCAAAAGGCAGCAATGATATTGTCTCATTAGAATGGCAGAAGGCAGAAATCAAATTAATATTATTTTATGTTTGCTTTTGCATGACTGAAATGCCAAAGACTTTGTGTTTTGTTAGAATTTTCAATTTTGCAAGGCAATGGATCCCTTTGAAATTTAAAGTCACACTTGAACTGTGCAAAATAGACAGTGCGATTTTAATTTGATCTTAGTTTAAGTTGTGGCTTGCACATTTTTAGATTAAAGATGACAGATCATTTTTTATAGAAACTAATAAAGTGTTTGTAAATCATATTTTGCATATAATATTTTGTTTTTTAACAACACTGTTTATGTACTATAAAGTTATAATGTTATAAATATAAAGCCCACAGACCCCTATGTGGAAAATGCCTTTGAAATCCTTCATATAGTTTTCTGTTCATTTTGACTTTGGTGACTATTAGGACCTGATTGTCCAAATTACAGTTATAGTAACTGTAATAGGGTAATGAAAAAACTGAGTTTTTTAAAAGAATAAATTTGTTCTCGTCATTTTTTGCTACAATACCTACTTATAACTCAAACTTTTCAGATTGTAAATGGAGTACGTCTGTGATTATTGCTGTGAATTATAACAAGGTAGCTGTAACATCTCACAGAATGTCATTGTGTAAGTGAAGTTTCCCTTCAAGACAAAATGCTAGAATGCCATTCTGTGTTCATTTTATCAAAACAGGAGTATACAAATGAAAGTAAGGGTTTGTTTGACAGCTTTCAAATATTGCTTCTAAAGTAGAATTTTGAGTGTTGGTTCGTTACTTGTATAGCGTAATGCCTCTATGAGTGAACTTAGTTTGATTGTCTATTGAATTTGTTTGAAATGATTGTGGTTTGATGTATTATGTTTTGTTTCATATCACTAGAATACTCATATTGTTTTGACAGGTTCTGAGAACTCGTGGGCGCTCTGTTTTATTAATTGCCTTGTATTTATTCTTCCATTCGTTGCTTTCTTGCCCAGGGTAACTTATGAAAAAGGGTCTTTGATTTGACGACTTAAATGCTTTGAAAAGCCTCTCCAACATAAGTTTGTGATGTTTCTTGATGAAGTATTTCCCAATATTTTATAGGATTTGTTTCTCTATTTTTGTACCTAAACCTAAAAATATCTTTAAGTTGCCTGAGGGATGGATATAATGTCTTTGGTAGAAAATATTTCTCTGAGGATTTTGGTTTAATGTTTACTAGGCCAAGAACAAGACTCTTGAATAGAAAATGATTAACTTTGTAAATCAGATGAACTGAAATATCTGGTTTTTGTTTCTTAGATGTGTAAATTATCGAGGAATTTGAAGGTATACAATTTTTTAAAAAGTGTAATTTTTTTCATTACGAGATAAATGCAAATTTGCATAAATAAAGATTGGCACAAAAATACCATTTGATTGCTCTGGCCAGTAAAGGGAAAAATTTGTTGAAATAAAGCGAATAGAGGGTTGAAAAGGGAAGAAAGTTTGCTGCATTGAAACAGTGATTTTTTGTGAATTTCTGTCAACCTTTTTTTATATTCCAGATACTCTGCCTTCGCAATCATAGCCTTTCCCTCTATAAAGTATCTGTCATTGTATTATTTTCAGTTGAAATGTTCATACTTAGGGGAGGAGAAGGAAGCAATTTGATAAAGATAACTACTTAAAGAGAATTTACGCTTCTTTCATGAACATTTATGTCTGTCTATATTTTCCTGCAACTTTTATCTCAGAATATTCAGTCTTATTCTGTTTTCAATTGGTGTACCTTTCTGATGTAGAAATAGCCCATGTAGTGGAAGAAAATATCTTTATGAAATCTGTTTTTCCGTCCTCCAAAACCCATTTGCATGAAAGGCCTCTTCTCTATGTTTAGAAAAGTAACTTTGATCAGTCAGTTTATTCTTCATGTCAAATCTGTAAATATGGTCATGTTTCTTAAAATATCATTGGTCATTTGGCTTCCTATTTGCAGGCATTTTATTTATGCCTAATTGTTGATCATACTCTGGTGTAATATTACTTTTCTAGCCTTCTTTGATTTTCTCCACTCTGTATTCTGTTGTACGTTTGTGCTGACAAGCAAGAAAACCTCCACGGCTATGATTTGAAAACCTTGAAAGACAATGGTGAAGATTGATCGTTGCCACTTGATAATAACACATCACTTTTGATAAAGCCAACCAAATTAGACAGAGTGAAATTACACAAACTCTAGTGAATTATTGTGTTCTCTATCGTAAGATGAAGAAGTGTACTTAAGCAATGTTTCCAGCTACTTGAGCAGCAAGTTCTATCCCTATGAAATATAGTAATTGAATTTGAACGTGACTATTTGTTCAATGATCTGATATATCTGGACTTCTGTCATCTCTATAGGCGATAATAACTACTTAAATATTTATAGCCCAGGTTTGAAATGCCTGCACAAGAAGATGCTATTACACAGGTAGTGATATGAGGTGAGATGGATGGGATTTAAAGATCTTTATGCTATGAGTATTATGGTCTTAATAACTTGTACAGTTGTCAATACGTTTGTCTTGAATGTACATCCCTATTTGTCCATTTATGGGAGAACAGTTTGCAAATTATACTTTTGTACATTTAGTCTCAGTATGAAAAGAAAAGAAGGCATATTGACGCTGTCTTCAGTTTGAATTCTGTGTGTGCTAAAATGAAAGCAAAATTTGGCAAATGTGTATTATGTTTTTTGCTTTCAGTGACACCCTGCAAGCCTAAGTCGTCTGAAATGTTGAATTTTACTCTTGACTATCCCATGCTTGCTAACATCCTGATGATCATGAAATTTTTGTGTCATTCTTTTTGCCTTTTGAACAAAATGAAGACTTTTACCAGGTCTTCTGTCCATATTTGTTTCTTTTTGTAAAAACTCAGCCATAATAAATCATAAGGCTGATGAAAGGCTGTAATCATTGATCATAATTTAGGTTGATGTTTTTCTCCTGTTTAACAACATGGAGGGTGCATGGATGTGAAATTGATGTGAATTTTGACAGAATGTAACATTAGGATTATAGTATCAGTCAAGCTGTTCAGTCCACATGCCACTTGTACATAATACCATGAACCTTTTATGACCTTCCACCAAGTTCCCAGACAGCTGTGCAGTGTTCACTGGGTGCAACGGACAAGCCCCTATATGGAACAATTTCCTTTTTCATTGTTTAAAGGCATTTTTTACTTCGGTATATTTATTCTGTCCTCTGTCATATTGTGAAATGTTAGTATGTATTTGTCCTCGACGTCAACATCATCTGTGCATCTTTTGTACAAGATCATTTTACTGAATGTCTTCACTTATTTCTGTGGCGATTTGTGTACGTCTTGTATGGAACATCATATTTGTCAGTATGTAATAAATATTAGTTTTGTCACTTTAAACATTACTAGTTGTTATTTGATTACTTTAAAATTTTTTTTTAGCTCACAGCGATTGTTTGGAAGGTGTCACTGGTCCATCCTTCTTGTTTGTTTAC